GTTGGTAGTGTTTTCATTTGAAGCATTTATCTTTATGTAAATTGATTTAACAAAACATGTCTTTTTGTTGACTTTTAAAATGACTTGTAATGTCTTGGCCCATATCTCTCAAATGAAGAATTTTTGGCCTTTAGCTTAGAGAGACAAAGTTGTAGAGAATTTAATTTCATTCAATATAGGCTTTTGTTGAGGAATTTCTGCTGAAGTATGTGAAAGTTGTGCTTTGTCAAAGTTCAGTTGACGTCTCCTTAAGAAAACCCTAATTTAGTAACTTTTGACTTTTGATGAATCTTGAGTTTTCTTGACGAATCGTGATCAGACCTTGATCAAATGATGAATTTGACTTCAAAATGTTGATGTTGACCAAAAATCTTGAAGTTTGATTGTAGATTGGTCTAAGTTGACTTTTTGTCCAATACAATTGATTTTCAATCATCTGGCTAATTGAATGAGCAAACTTGTGATGTAAGGCTTGAAACTTGGTATGGGGATACTTTGAGGCATGTGAGAAACCATGAAATCCACTTGAGTCATTAGAATTCCAATTTCCTTTGATAGAAACAAAACCCTAGTTGTAGGTTGGTTGCTAAGGATGAGGGTTTGTGTGGTCAACCCTTGAGTAGTCTTGAGTACTTGAGACCTTCATGAGCATGAGGATGTGTCTTGAATTAATTTTTCTTGAAAATGGGAGGGAAAATTTTGGGGTACAACAATACCAATCACATTCATGCATAAATAATTTTTCCATTTCCAGCCACCCTCGCTAAGCGCCATAGGCCGCGCTAAGCGCCCTTCCAATTATGTAGAAAATTATGCTATGGGACAGTTCTGTCTTATTACGAAATTTACCCTCAAATCATGTTTTAATGCTCATTTTTCACCAAATAAATATACTCTAACATGTACACATCATAGGGGACCTATTTGTATAATAAAAATTAGGTTTCCAAAACCTAATTTCCAAATCCCTAAATCAAATTGGGTGATTCAAAACCTAAAATTCACATAACCAATCCTATTATATGTTACTACCAATCATATACTCCCACAATAATATAGATTCTCACTCTTACCTTGAGTGTAGAGTCTTTAGGGTTGCCTATTCAATTTTCCTATTTTCTCCTCTTTCTCCTCTTCTTTTCTCTTCTCTTCTTTGTTTTTGTTTTATGACAACACTAATTCTAATTCCTATTCTTACTACTCTATTTCATTAATGGGCCTAGTTCCACTTACCCATTCTATTATGACATAAACCCCAATTCTAATTATTTATTATTCTTACTTATAACTCCAATTATTCAAATAACACATATATTCAAATAATTCAAATATTCACCAAATCACACAATTAAATCAATTACTATATAATATAATAATTAATAAAATAATTAAATAATAGAAAATAAAGATCAGGGTGTTACATCATATTTCCTAACAGACGACAAGACATCTTCCAAATCTTTTGCATGAGTGCATCCCTCGATAGTTTTAACTATCATGTATTCAAATAGACTTCCAGGTTTTAACCTATCTGGATGGTGAAGACAACATACATAAGGCGCTGGTAGGTGGTACCAGCGTTCTTGAGGTCAAAGGGAATGTCATTGTAGTAGTATTTGTTGTGGGTCGATATGAAGGGTGTCTTGGGCGCGTATAGGGAATCCATATGAATCTGGTTGTACCCCAAATATGCATCCACGAAGCTCAACGTGTTATAGCTTAATGATCTATCAATAAGGCGATCAATGTCTGACAGGGAAGACGTCATTCAAATAAGTGAAATCTACACATATGTGCTGCCTCTTGTTAGATTTCATAATTAGAACCACGTTAGCCAACTAGGTGGGATACTTTATTTCTGTGATGAACCCGACACCAAATAATTTTCCCACCTCTTCATAGATGGAGACCCTCTTTTCCTTGCCAACTTTTCGCTTCATTTGTGCCACTGGTTAGGAAGAAGTGCTGAGGGAGAGGCGATGACTCTCCACTTTGGTGTTTATTCTTGGAATGTCAGCGGAGCCCAGGAAAACAAGTTGATGTTCTTAATAAGTTAATCTGCTAGTTCCCTTTCCTCCTTTGCATATAGAAATGTACCTATCTTCGTCACCTGATGGGTGTGAGGGCCTATCTGGACTTCCTTAAGTCCCTTGTGAGAGTGAGCCTTTCTGCCTCAGCTCCCAATTGAGTATCCCAATACTCGAAGTCAGTATTTGCAAATTTGGAAGGGGGGAAATTAACAAGTGTGAGCTTTTCTCTGGCTGTCTCCATACTACTATAGTAGCACTAGTGAGCCTCTCGTTGATCCCCTCAAATTGTACCAACTCGCCCATCAGGTGGCGAACATTTAAAGGCTAGGTAAAGCGAGGATATGACTTATCTAAAGGAGTTTATAGTTGGCCACCCCATGATGATGTTTTATGGTGATACAACGTTCATAATGAGGTAGTTGACGTCAATCGTCCTGGCGTCAACTCCCTCTCCACGTGTAGTTTCTAGGGCTATGTGGCCCATTATTTGTACATGCATGCCTGATAACCCCATCAAAGAGCTGTTGTACCCCAAATTTTGACCTAAGATACCGTCTTCCATCTGCATCATTCGCATTGCAAGAGTTTTGGACCATTTTTATCAAATTTTCAAAGCATTTTAAAAATTCATAACTTTTTCGAGTCGGAAGCTGTTTATTTGTTGAACGCTAAATTTATTAACTGATCAAGACTTAAACAATGTTCATTAATTATTTATTATCTTAAATTCAAATAATTGGAATTTATTTTCGATTATTACGTAATTTAAAGATTTATAAATAATAAAATAAATATTTGAAAAGAGGTTTATTAATGGGTCAAATAATGTTTATTAATTATTCATTATCCTAAATTTAAATAATGGGAACCTGTTTTCCGTTATTATATAATTTGAAGGTTTATGAATAATGAAATAAACATTTGAAAATGAGTATATTAATTGATCAAGCAATGTTTATTTGATTATTTATTGTTCTAAATTTAAATAGCTGAAATTCTATTTTTCAAGTTATTATAATTTAGAAGAATTAAAAATAATAATAAAATAAATAATTGAAGTTATTAATTGATCAATGATGTTTATTTATTTGTTTATCATTTTAAATTTAAATGATTGGATTTTTAATCATTATATAATTTAAAGAATTATAAACAATAAATAAATAATTGGAAAGAAAAAAGAATTAATTGAGAAATAATAGAATTTTTATTCACTTTATTCTATTTATTACAATTGTCATTTAAATGTTGTGTTATTACAAAATATTCATAAAGACAATTACATAAATGCTTAAAGTAAATAAAAAGCTATTTTTCTAAATTCTAATTCTAAATCTTCAATCCAATGCTCTTTGTCTGCTCATTTAAATTTTACCTGCAAAAAAAAAAAACGATCAAAAGAAAGAAATTAGAATTCGAATAAATAATTAAAATGCAGAAAATAAATTCAATGTTCCTCATTAAAAGCAATGGCCGGAATCAGTTACTCTTTTTTTGCAAATCACGGGATTTCTCCCGGTTCACAAAAAAGAGAGGAATTTTTAAATGAATGCATAATTGAAAATAGCACATTTTCAAAATCATTTGCATTTTTATCAAAAAGCCCACTGCATATTTCACATATGCATAAATACTTTTTTGGTCAAAACTGCATAAGTATAAATCACAGCATACATAATTTCAAACAAACATATGCAAGGTACACAACAAGCCAACGTTAACCTGCAGAATAATAGGCTAATGCAAGACAAAAAACAATATGAAATTTCAAACAATGTGCAGTTTTAAACAATGTATGCAAGCAACCTATTCCTTTTTTTTTTGTCATCATTTTCTGGCCATTACAATTTCAGAAAAATGTACAGTATATCATTTATATATATCATTTCTGTACTTGGGAGAGAGAGAGAAGAGGTTCAATTTTGCAGGTTCTGACTTAAGCATGAATTGGGAATAAAGTCAACTATGTAGCAGCATATGTGAAAGCATCAGGAAATATTAAAATACTAAAAACCTGAACCATCTTAAAAAAAAGAAGCAACGGCTATTTGAAACCCCTTCAAAAAGGACATCACTGCATAGCATATTTTCCACAAGAACATCATTGCAAAACTAGGCAAACATAGTCCATTGCAAAACCATTTTTCAAACAAAACCTGCATATTGTTAAACCCCAACCAGCATACTGCTATATACCATAGTCCCTTTTGCAAAGCATCACTGCAAAAACTATTCAAAGATATAGCATATCAACCCATTCTGCATAACCATTTCCAAGCATAGCCATCACTTGCTTAAGCATTTGCAAAAAACCTGCATACTGCTATCATAAACAGAACCTACAACCATATCATTGGAAAACCATTCCCAAACAGAATCTGCATCAAACTATTCAAAACCAAAAACATTCAAAAAACTGCATATTACTATTTCACAACCTGCATATTTCATAACCTGCATATTGCATAAAACTATTTTCCAGCATATTGCAAAACCATAACTTGCATACTGTAGCAAAACCTTAGATAAACCAGTATAATCCAAAAATCCAAAAAAACATTTATTCAATATTTTCCAATCAGTTTTTTTAGACGGAGAAGAAGAGAAGAATTAGTAGCAGAAAACAAAGAGCGAGAAGTCTTCGGAGCTTACCTGACTTCGCCGGAATCGTACCGTCGGACTAGCTCCGACCATGTGAGTTTTTCAGTTTTCCGCTTAAACCTTTATACCGTTGCGTTGCCTTTGTCTCACTTAATAATCCTCTTTTAATTTCCTGAAATCATAAAAAAGGGCCATTTAATATCATTGCGAATCATCAATACATCCATCCTCTCTCTCCTTATAAAAAAAATCCAATTCATGGAACCAAACACTTGACCATAAAGATTTGACCAAAAAAACTCTTCATTCAAAATATTCTCCTAATTTAAAATTGAATTCGAAAACTTGTAAGACTGTTCGGCGTAACAAATGGACATAGCTATCTTCTCTCCATCATCCCTCTTCTTCGAAGAACAAGATGACGTTCACACCAGCGTTGAGGAAAACGCAGAGAATCAGGAAAGCTTTGTCGAGAGGAAGCATCAATTTCCTGGAATGGAGTTGGTTATCCGAGAGTTTTCCTTTCATCAATTGAATGCTAATTTGCTCTGGCCTGGAACTTTTGCATTTGCAGAATGGTTAGTTCAACACAAATCATGCAAAATTGATATTACAACTTCAGATTATGATGATCAAGAGATATTGGAAAACATAGCTCACAACTGTAGTGCAAATGATTTACCTGTCATTCCTCATATTAAACATACCTGGGGAGACAAGTTTCCAAATTCTGACCCTGATTGGGACCTGATCATTGCGAGTGACATCTTATTGTATGTGAAGCAGTACCCGAATTTGATACAGACCATTACATTTCTTCTCAAAAGTTACAAACCGAGAGAGAGAAGAACTACAGTTTCGCAAACTGGGAGTGATGACACCAATGTTGCAGGAGATGTAGTGTTGCCTTGGCCAGCTTTTCTGATGAGCTGGAGACGTAGAATTGGAAAGGAAGACGAATCGATTTTCTTCAACGGTTGTGAGAAAGCTGGTCTAGAAGTAAATCATATTGGATCCCGCGTATATTGCATCAGTCTCATTGAAAATGAGGAATCAAACAAATGCTTGAAGAAAGAAGATAGTGTTCAAGTTTCCTCAGGAAGAAAATGAAGTGAAACTTAAAAGTTTGTTCTATTTAGAGAGTTTTTTTTTTAAGGGTCATAGTCAGCTTCACTAGTTTATTTTGCTGCAACTAGTAACTGATAGCAATCATAACATAACCATTATGAAGTTTATTGAAAATATTTTATATCGAAAAAAAAGCTATAAACAGAAAAGGTTAGAATAACTCACCTGACCGGAGAATCCTTCCTCGCCGAAAAACCTTCATCTTCGCCAGAAACACCATCTGTAACCGAGCCACACCTCTTCTCTCGCCAACAATCTCGCCTCAATTCCGCGACAAACACCTTTAACCACAAGCATTCACCACCTCTTACTCTCTCCTTCGCGCAACCATCTACTCCCTCATGGACCGCCTCCACGGCACCAAGAACGCTACGGTCGCAATCATGTCTCTTCCCTCTCCACCACATAACTATCAAAGGACCGTTCACTCTTAAAGATCAGCTTTCTTATTACCCTTCTTACGGTGGTCGAATTTTCCAATGCTGATTTGTTGTATAAACTCGAAGCTTTGATTGTTTTTGTTGGGAAAGTCAGTGATGTTCCGAAATCGTTGGATCTTCAGAGGAATGAACTGGTTTATGAGATAGTGAGAATGGTTGGTGAAGATTATAGAACGTGCAGGGTGAGATTGGAGGAGATCGGAACAAGGAGGAAGAAGAGGGATCCAGCGGCGGCCACAACACCTAGCGTTCCAAGGGTTTTTTCGTTACAGCATTCGCGTTTTGGGTTTGGGTCTTCCCTGACCCGCTCCATTTCCCCTCACCCAACTCATTTCCTTGTTTACTTAAGCCCATTCTTTTCTTACACTTAAGCCTATTCTCTTTGCTAATTCATACCCCATCTTTTATTTAGTCTTTAATTAATCTCTATTCTTTTTCTTAACTTATTTTAATTTAGACTAATTAGTTTTTTCCTAGAAATAAACATATATTTTTAAATAGATAATTTTAATATTATTTACCCAAATCTCATTTAGTTTAAATTTATGTTTATTTAATAATTTTAGTCTTACTTATTTCTAATTCAATTTAAATTCATGGTTTGTAAGTTTAATTTAAAAAATATTTAATATCTTTTAAAAAACATGTGAAAGTAAAAAATGAGAAAACTAAAAGACATTCTATTTTTCTTTAATTTACTCCCCTCATTTTGATTAAATACTAATACAAAAAGGATATAAAAAATAAAAAAAACATATAAAAATCTAAAAAACATTTCTCTTAGTTCTCATTACCCTTTTATCATTAAAAATGCGTAAAAAATGAAAACCAATTAAAACTTTTTCTTTTCGCCTATTAAACAAAAATCATATAAAAATGCATGTTCACATTTAATTGTTGTGTATCATTTTTTCTGTCAATTATTTCATTATACTTGTTTATTCTGTTTGCACCAATCCAGAGGGAATAATCCAATTTTTGTTGACTTCATGTCCTCAAAAAAACGATCGAGCGAGTACCCTCATTTCATTAAAACTTAGGATAATTTTTCCAAATATCCGATTTCTCCAAAACTCACACCTTTTAAGTCAAAACTTCAACGTCAGGTCGTCGTATCTTCAAAAACCCGTCCGTATCCCTTTTCGACCAAAACGATTTATTTTCAATCAAGCGAACAATTTTAATAAAACAGATATTTCAAAAGGTTCCTATAGAGTACTATAGATACATTGGGTGCTAGTACCTTCCCACTGTATAACCAACCCCCGAACCATAGATCTCTTTTCAAAAACGCCTTGTATTCTTATTACTTTTAAAAGTATTATTTACATTGCATATTTAGGGTTTTATTTCGCTCTCTTCCCTTTTCCTTTGGAAACAATAAAGCGCGGTGGCGACTCTTGCTTTTGTGAGACGAATTAATCAATAATTCGATCTCCGATTTACCCCGCTACATTTTTTATCGCTACAGAATTGGCGACTCTGCTGGGGACAGATTGACCTCTTGCTGGTCCATCCCTAAGTGGGTTAAGCCTAATTTGTTTTATCTGTTTTATTATTATTTGATTTGTTTGATTATGTGTTTAAATTGGGGTTATTCGGGTTTTTCGCAAAGGACAAATCCTACACCCGGATTAAGTAACACTTAAGGAATAGGACGGGCGGTATAGTCATGTTAACTTTGAGGGAGTAATCCCGAAGAAGGAGGCATGAGATCCCCCACTCAATGGAAGGCCCTCTTGGACTTAATATTTGTTTACCGAGTAATCGGGAAGACATTATTATTTTCGACCTAGGAGCCCGAGAAGTTGAGGACCGTAGAACCCCGACTCATCTTGGCCTTTTTAGGTGTAGCGCGGAGACTATAACGGAGTAATTCGGAAGTAGTTGTTACGCGATGCTACGCTCGGACGAGTTTCTCTTGAGAATATTGCTAATTATCGAGTAATCCAGACGTTGGCAATATCCGAAGGAGGAATGTAGACTCTGGGAACTCTTAGAACCTTGTTCTACAGGTGTGATTAAACCCTTAGTACATACCTTGGGGATGTTTTTACCCTTGACTCCATGCGGAACGTTGAACCTTTCGACTTTGTTTGTGACCTTGCTTGTGGTTGTTGCATCGCCATGCATTCATGCATCCATAAAACTCTTTTCGCTTGACTTTGAAGGAGTTTGGAGGTCTTTCTTTGTAAACATCACTAGTTTCGTCAAACTCAATGGATCTTGGGTGTCGATAGGGCGAAAACCCTAATCCACCAAAATGGATGATTGATCTTGACGATAACTTGATCAATGTTTGGAGCCAGTTTAAAATTCATCTGTTATCTTCATACTTGGATGTTTATAACTTGATATCTTGAGTTCCTTAAAAGTCAAATAAAACTCTCTTTTGCATACCATACATCATTCTACATTTCCTTTGTCTCACTTTCAAAGGTCTTTTTTCGAGTCTTATTTTTTCCTTTTGGTCTCACTAGTACAACACTCGCGCTAAGAGGATAATGGAGAATATCAAGCAAGAGGTTTCTGAACTCCGCAGAGAGGTGACTATTTTGAAAGCTGGTTTGGATCACTTAACTGGTTTGGTTGAAATTCTGATCTCCGCCCAAGTCAATCCTTCTAGAAGGGAGGAAGCAAGGATAAAAGTCTTCACGGAGACTCTAAAATCTTTTTCTCATGAAAAGGTGACGGTTAATGCACCTGACGACTTTCCTGACAAAGTGAATGTGGGAGTGCGTCTAGAAGAAGATGTCGGAAAAGGATGTTCATATGAAGTGAGTAGCTCAGTTAATGGTGTGAAGAGGTTTGATAATGACTTTTCCAAGAAGAGAACCAGAAGAGATAATCATCATCAGAATCATCATGTTCACCAACAGAATCAGCAAGTTCCTAATCAGAGGAAAACCCAGTTTGATTCAATCCCAATCACCTATACAGAGTTGTTCCCTATCCTGATGCAGAGGAATTTGGTTCAGACCCGACCTCCACCGAAGGTCCCTAAGAAGTTACATTGGAACTACAAAGCTGATTTGGCTTGCACATTTCATCAAGGTGCTCGTGGGCATGACTTGGAGGGTTGCTTTGCTTTGAAGATTGAGGTTCAGAAGTTGGTCCGAAGTGGTATCTTGTCATTCAAGGACGTTGGTTTTGAAGTTCAAATCAAACAGGCGCCGAAGAGTAAACACGATTGAGGGTGACTTTGAGTTTTTGGAGATGTTTTCGGTAGTTCAAGTGGAAAGCCTTCCCAGATTATTAACTCGTTTCTGCTTTTGTAGCTTTTCTTATTTATCGAAACATCGTCTGCATGTAAGAACTTGTTCGCATATGAATGATCATTTTAATACAATGAGTATGTTTGTCTTGAAGAAATTCATTCGTTTCACTCATATTTGCTTTCAAATTTTAAATTTCTTTTGCATTATGATACCAACATGTGGCCCATTCTCTTGCCTAGGCAGAGATTGAAGGGGGGATGATGATCTAAAGAACACAAAATCTTCGGTTGCATGCTTTTGAATAAAATCTTGTTGATGATGTACAGGCATTGTTTCAAATCCCTAAACACCGGAGATATAAGGAAGATAATCCCTTGCTAACCCCTTTTGAGCCTTTGAAGCAGAAGTTTCTTTTCTATACGAAAAACCTTGAATTTTAACCTGGGGCAGGGTAGCTTTCTGGTAATTTGATTGAGTGTCCAAAACTCGTAAGAAAGATGTTACCGTCACAAAATCCTCTTGATAGATGAACACTCAGTTCGAATTAACCAAGCATAGGGTTGGAGAACATCATGAAGAATGGGTGGGCACCAAATATTTTGAGCCTTAAAATCTTTTTCTAAAAAACCATAAATCGGACCACATTACAACCTTCAAAAGTCCTAATTGAAGCAAGGTCATTCTGAAAGCATATGAGATAGTGTTCCTGACTCCCATGAATGTTCTAAATAGTTATGTTGGTATCATATGTTTTTCCTGCACAAAAATAAATGATGCTTTAACTCGCAAAATTTGTGCGATATCTTTCAAAAATCTTCAAGACTTATATAACTGTTGCATTAGAATTCTCATTCTCATTGTGAATTTTTTTTCTAACTGCAAAACTTTTGCTTGATATCAAGGAAGCTCACATAAACGCCAGTGATGAGTTTACCCTTTTAAGGCTTGAAACTATGTTGAGTAATTGGAGAATCAATTCAAGAAAATCACATCCAGGGGCATGTCAGTTGAAGACCTTAAGCACGAACATGTTGCTTCTCCCAGTTATTGCTTTTCCCAACTTGTTTGCTCGTTTGGGGCAAAATTTCGAAGACTTTGTTATGCCAACTACAGTCAATCCGGGGCAATCACGTCAGGATTTAATGATTTTCTCTAAAAGTTTGAAGACACCAGAGCATGGTAAATGCCAAGTTTTTTGTAAAACCCTCGTTAGACGATTTTCTCGCCATCAACCTTTTAGCTTGGGGCATTTTAGAAGTGAAGTTATTCGCAAGAATCGTCGTGCATCGTGCAGCTCGTCAGCAGTAATTTGGGGCATCCAATT